AAATATGGTGACGTCATCTGCCTGTTCAACATGCATTCAGTGGTGTAATCTCAACACTTCGATACTTGGTACGCCGGTGTTGCTTGAACACAAAAGGTTATTGTGAAAGACCAACATCACCCTACTGCGCAAGCCAGCTTAGCTTTTTACATTATGGTCAATTTGGATGCTGGCGCCGTCCGGACTTCCAACACTTCTTTTCGTTGAGGTTGTGGTACCCGAGGTAACAATATTATTAAAATGCGGTCTTTCAATTTTTTGTAGCAAACGTAATGAATTCATGTGTATCATATTTTGCCTGAATTTAGAAATATGCTTGTAAACTCATTTAACATTTCACATGAAAACCGGAATATTTCAATAATAAGTTGAAAATGCTAATCAATTAGATACTTCTGGTGTACCGCTGCATCTGGCACAATTAGATACACAAGGTTGAGTGGAGGCAATGGCGATCGCCAGCAAGCACTTGCCTGCAAAGGAGAGTGCACTTTTTCGATCGATCGTGGTACGTAAACCACTTTGTTTCATTCCCCTGCCTCGAATTATACGTTTCTAGCTCATATTACGTGCAAGCTTTGGACTTGACTTCGCATTTCTAACGGTCATCTTTTGTTCTATAGAAATGCTATGAGATTAAGCAATATAAGAAAGGTTTAAAAGCAGCGGATGCTATTCTCAAGAAATACCCTGAGCATGGTGAGACACTGGCAATGAAAGGGCTGACACTCAACTGTATGGGTCGCAAAGACGAAGCTTATGAGTTTGTAAAGAATGGGTTACGCCATGACCTTCGTTCGCACGTATGTTGGCACGTTTTTGGTCTTTTATACCGCTCGGATCGCAATTACAACGAAGCTATCAAGTGCTATCGAAACGCAATTCGAATTGATCCGGAGAATCTGCAGATTCTTCGAGACTTGTACTTGTTGCAAGTGCAAATGCGCGACCTAAAGGGCTTTGCTGAAACGCGTCGCATAATGCTTACACTCAAGCCAAATAATCGCAATAATTGGATTGGCTTTGCGATTGCGCATCACCTTGTCGGAAACCATCAAATGGCCATTGATATTATTGACAAATACTTTGGTACACTAGATGGTGAGCGCGTAGCAACATATGAAGACAGTGAGATTTATTTGTACCAGAATCAGGTGATTGAGGAGACAGGAGACATTGCTAAAGCGTTAGCTCATCTTGAAGACAACAAGGAGCAAATTATTGACACCCTTTCGTGGCGTCAGAAGAAGGGACAGTTTCTGCTCCAGCTCGAGCGTTACGATGAAGCCCATGACATGTTTGTAGAGCTCTTAGGAATCAACTTTGACAACGACGAATTCCAGCGTGGCGTACAGTGTGCGATTCTTAAACGTAAAGATTTGTTTGTGACCAATTCAATGCAGAAGAAAGCACCGCTTCCGTCCGAAGTTATTGATTTTGCAAACGAAGAACAGGGCGCTGAGCTTGAAAAGGCACTATTAGACTTTTATTTGGAAAAAAAGACGACGATTGGCGCCCATTCAATCATATCGTTGCGCTTTCCGCTTGACTTTACACGTGGTGCCGAATTTAAGAAGTATGCAGATGTGTATCTCAAAAGACAGCTCAACAAGAATGTACCGTCAGTTGGAGCGAGCCTTAAGTCACTGTATGTTGACAAAGAAAAGGTGACGATACTGGAAGAGCTGATTCTAGGTTATGTAAAGACGCTGGAGGCAAAGAACCCGCTCCATATGGGGGATAACTCCATTGCAGCCAATATGACGGATCGAGTTCTCTTATGGACAAATTATCTCGCTGCACAGCACTATGATCGTCTAGGTAACTACTCAATGGCGATGGAGTTTATTGAAAAGTGTATTACTCAAAAGCCGCCCTTGCTGGACTTTTATCAACGCAAGGCACGTATTCTCAAGCACATGGGCGATCTCAATAAGGCTGCAGACGTCATGGTCGAAAGCCGTAAGTTTGACTTAGCAGATCGGTACATTAACAACAAAGCTACGGAGTATCTACTACACGCAGACCGCGTCGAAGAGGCCGATGCCACAATCGCGCTCTTCACTCGTCACGAAGGAGACCCGCAGCAAAATTTGTATGAAATGCAGTGCATGTGGTACGAAATTGAGTGTGGCAAGAGTCAGTGGCGTCAGAAAAAATACGGTCTTGCCCTTAAGCGTTTTTTTGCGGTGGAAAAACACTTTAATGACTTTGCGGAAGATCAATTTGACTTTCACACGTATTGCATTCGCAAAATGACGCTACGTGCATACATTCAGTTGCTGCGTCTTTGTGATACGATCTACGGTCATCCATTTTTCGTCGAGGCTGCACATGGCGCCATTGCATGTTACCAGGCGCTAGCCGATAAGGAAGTGGAGAAAGCAGAGGAAGAAGCTAAGACTGCGGCGGCGAACGCCAGTTTGTCGGCTGCTGACAAGAAGAAGGCCAAGCGTGCGTTGGCTAAAGCTCGCAAGGCTGAATTTAAAAAGAAAGAAGAAGAAGAGCTGAATGCAAAATTGCAAAAGGAAGTTGAGGAAAAGATGCGCGAGACGGTCAAGAATGGCAAAACCAAGGCAAACTCCGGGGCCGCACGTGTGAAAGATGACGATCCGTTGGGTGATAAACTTGCTGAAAAACCTGCTCTTGAAGAGGCTTGGCGTTTTGTCTCTATCTTACAGCGTTATGCTTCGGAAGACGTGAAGACACATGTCGCTGCATTTGACATTGCTCTTCGCAAAAAGAAAATGTTGCTGTGCTTGCAAGCTCTCTTAAAAGCACAAACGCTCAAGCATTTGTCTGCGGAGATGAAAAACGAGTTAAGTTCGCGTCATGCTATTTTCTTGGAAGAGATAAAGCTGGTGTCAAACCCCACTGTATTGAAGGTCATCAACACGAAAAAGGCTGACATCATGATTTAGATAAGCTTGACTGCTATGGTCATAGAAGCAGATTACCGGTAGAGGCAGTGACAGTAAATAGAGCAGCCAAAGTGATACCGTTTTTCAAAGGTTTTTTTGGTTTTTATTGCTTATCGATACGTACCGGTATCAGTAGATGTGGCAACGTATCGATAAAATACCGGTATTAGCAGATGTGGCAACGTGTCAATAACATACCGGTATTAGTAGATGCGGTAACGTCTCAATAAAATACCGGTATCAGTAGATGTGGCAACATGGCGATAACATACCGGTATCAGTAGATGTGGCGACGTGTGCTTTATAGACGGCAAATCTGTGCATTCTCCGCTGCGACTGAGACCCACAAAGCACCAATTAAGCTTTATGTAATTGCTGGTGAAGCCTCTGGCGACGCTATTGGTGCTAAAGTGATCCGTGCTTTGCAGCACCACGAACCGACTCAGATATTTAATTTTAGAGGAATTGGAGGGTACGAAAGTATCAATCGATTTGATTCGAAAGTATGACAATTATTGGTACTTTCGAATGTGTAGACCTCAAATGTGTGAAGCTGGCAAGTTCAAGTCTTTATTTCCAATGCAAGAGCTGTCAATTATGGGATTACTGGAATTAATTCCGCATATTCGGCGATTCCAGGTTTGTCATTTCTTACTAGGACAATGTAACATGAAGATTTAAGATTGTGATTTGAGCAGCTGAGAATTCGAGAGACGCTGCGTGATATTGATGCGTATCAACCAAAATTGATACTTACGATTGATTCAAAAGGTTTCACCTTTCGTATTTTGAAAGCGCTTCATCAAAATGAACAAAACACAGGAGTCAAACTTATCCAAAAAGTGCACTATGTTGCCCCGTCCGTTTGGGCTTACAAACATCGAAATGTGCGGAATTTTACACAAATGAAGCAACTTCTGGATGCCATGATTACCATCTTGCCCTTTGAAAAAGATTTGTTTGACGCTAGTGGACAGAAATCTGATGATCGCAATGAGTCAAAGCGTTCGTGGTGTCACTTTGTGGGGCACCCAGCAATTGAAGATTTCTTGGAAGCAAATGGAGTCTACGAAAACGGTTTGACTCTACCATCGGAATGTAGTGTTCATATAGACAACAGCTTAGGAGCAGATGCTTTGCTCCGTTTCCCTTCTTTTAATTGGAAGTACTTTGCCGTACGTGGCAAAATATTGCAGAATATGATTGCAACCGGACGGAATAAAGATATGAAGGAGCGAGGCAGGAAAACTTTCAAACTTTCGACAAATGCTTTCGTGATATGTGCACTGGTTGGAAGGTCTTGACACTGATCATTTCCCAGCATTTATGTTCTCCACGTGCTTATATTATATCGTGTATCTTTCAGCCGGACCAACGAAGTAACGAAGTCCTTGAAAATTGTGGTCAAGGCCATTAATTCGTTCGTTCAAAAAGAATGTCAGGAGCAGCAACGAGACGTACGTACTATGTGGTATATGTTCTACGATATAATTGACTTCCCTACTTTTCTAGATCCTCGTCGTCTTTCCCACAATTGCTGCGGTGAAGGAACAGGTCACAACTTATCTTTCATTGTATAGTGTTGGTATTCAGTACCGGGTTCTTACAGATCTAAATGCAATCGACCGACTTCGGCTTTTTCAGGTAATATGATGTTGACTTTGTTTATTTGATAAAGCCTCAGAACTAATCTATCTAAAGAGTTCCGATGTCGCGGTAGCCGTGTCCGGGACCGTTGTTCTCGAGGCGACTCTAGCCGGTCTTCCTACCGTCGTAATTTATCGGGCTAATTGGTTCACCGAATGGATTGCCAAACGCAAGGCTGCTGTTCGGTTCGTGTCCATACCTAACCTTTTGTTCGGAAAACCTTTAATTCCAGAGCTCCTATTCAGTAATTGCACGGTTTCAAATATCGCAGAGGCGTTAAGGTGAGAGAATTTTCTGGGGCTCATTGGAGTTCATACCTAATGCACATGTGTCTACAATACAGAAACCTACAGCATCAGCCAGTTGAACAAAGAAATGCATTGCATCTTGCCATCTCCATCAGCACATTAACTAAGTGGCACGAGACTGCCGAAAATGTTCTACAACCCATTCGAGCAAGCGAAGTGGCTGCGAAGCACATATTTGAGGTGCTTAGGAAAGGGTAGCGCATTTGGCATTTCAATTTGCTTCGTCTTCAGCTCTATTCTTTTTCGCTTCTGCTTGTCTCACTATCAGACGATGACAGTACAAAGTCGAAGTGTCTCGTTGGCTCCATTGTGGGCAAATTCATTATCACGTTGAGATGCAATGAAAGATGGTTTCAGTATCGAACGGACTTTCCATTTTCTCGATAACCCACACCCTCTTTTCGTTTCCAGTGCTCGTTTAAATCAAACGATCTTGATCGTCCATTAAAGCTTACACGTAGGACCCACACGAGAAACGGTAACAAAATCTTACACCAAAGCTTTCACTGAATAAGTTGATTATTTGAGATGTCAATTTGGGTGTTCATCGGCATTCCGTGTGGCATAACCAACCACTTTAAGAGCATTCTGCTCAAACACTCACCCAGTGAGAGGAATATCGCTGTCGCCAATAAGCAATTGATAATCATCAACAAGATTGAGTTTACTGAATAAAGTGCAATACACATCCTTTCTAGGAATCGATGTTTGCGTCGGAATTGTGGTTCCATTTTAGTTTGATCAATTGTGATTCAATAAGAGAAATATATGCGTGCAATAACACAATTACGGCGCACAGTACCGCGAGATACATAACACTCTTATGCTTGCAACCTTTGCGACAACATAACCGAGGAATTTGGATGACTTTTGGCTCAGCAGTGCAGGAGAGACAAGAATTAACATCAACACAAGGTTGGATCTGACGCATGACTGATCATGTCATGTGTCTTATCTGTGCTGATAGAGGACAAGAAACAATGCTGAAAATTGTATTTATTCGAGAGTAACAACTACTTTTCAATACAAAACAATTTAAGCAGAAGAATTGCTCTCATTGTATCAGTACGTAGAAGATCGATTACTAGTGTATAGATTCAATAGCAAAAACAATTCGATCGGCACGAGTTTCGCTCCGTTAAGAATCGTGTCGGCAAGAGTTAAATCACTTGACACTCAAGTCTAGCACAATCTTAGAGATTGTGACTCAGACTTTATTAAAAGCGTCTGCAGTCCACAGATACTCATCGTCCATATCATCAAGAATATCCCAGTACTTCATGTATTCTCCGTACTCTTGGCAAATGAATTCGACCGCAGCTTCCTTATTTTTCGACGAATACATCGAAGGCAAAACAGTGTCATCATCAAACATCTTCTTGAGAACACTTGCCCTCAATCGTTCGATTTTCCACTGCTGAAATTGCAGCAAAAGCATAGAAGCTGCAAGCGGGCTTACACTCTCGTCTCCCACCATCTTTGCCGCATATATCATTGTGGCCGCATTTTTGAGACCAAATACTTGCGAGAACGTGTCCATCGGTGTCACCTTTTCATTAGGATTCTTAAAACTAAACATCTTCGAATAGAACATCCAGAATTTCACAATTGGTTTGTTTTTCTGAAAATCGAAAAGGAGATTTTTGCATTCTTTTGGGTCGGGCTCAAGGAATATAATGATTCGGGATGGAAGCACTTTCTCAGCAAGCCAAACCGTCATCAGCGTGATCAACTGCATTCTGCTCGTGGGATTGCTAGCATTGTCTGCCAACACCTTATGAAGACCCTCATTTGTTTTAAACTCTAAAGTGCCCACAAGTTCAGTGAGGAGGGGATCTTTTGCGTACTGCTCCGCGGAACATGCACTCAGATATGCGGACCATTTTGCGTGCTCCGGCGTCTCGAAAATGTTTGTCGTTACTGGGTTGAGTCCAAGCCATTCATAGACTTTTACAGCGCTGACCTTAGTAGCGTCTTCGCGGTTATTCAGCTCATTCAGAAGTGTTTTAGCGATGGCATTCGTCTTAGTAGCTACAGCTGCTTCCATCAACCTCTCGACCAGTTCTTGGACATTAAAATGTTCGAGCATGGCCCCAAGTATCGCCTTGTAATGATTCCCACCGCCCTTCACTTTGCAAACGATATAGGCCCACTTTTTCCATTTGAGATTGTCCAAAAGGTTACCAACCGCTTTCTTAAGATCGAAAACGTCAAAAAGATCCTTAACAGGCATTCTAGCACTCAAAAGGACGAGATTTTCGATACTGTTCGCTTCGATGACTTCATGCTCCGCTAGGGGTGTCATTAGAATCTTTTCCAAAAAATCTCGAAATGTCCTTTCGAAATATCTTTCTTCGTTGTCAGAATCTACCAGCTTTTGTGTTCTGATAGTTCTTCGCATTGGGATATTATCGCGATCGGATGTGGATGAAGGAGCCACGAGTTACCTCACCGCATCACCTTGAGCCTTTGGAAAAAGAACTCCGACCAAAAGTGCCAATTTCATGGATGAAATGCGCATGATATGACAGTTACTGTTGGCACGAAGCTGATAATTGTGAAATGATGTCAGTCCACTGCTGGGTTATCGCAGAAGGTACATATTGAGGTATAATTTCAATGTAGGAAGGTGTATGCTAAATGTGGCACATGAGTGCATCTCCTTGTTTTGACCGGTCTCACCGTACATAATGTATGGTTTGGTTGACTTTTTATAACAGCATCCTCCCACCGTCATCGGAGAATGAGTACGAGCCAATGTTATATTTCTGTATAGAGCGAGACAATACGACTTAGATGACTCGTCTTAGAAATAGATGAAGAACAAGACCGCAAACAAGTAAATTCGCATAAAAGGCTAAAATTAAAAGTGGTCTGAAAATAATTACTAGCATCGAAGAATTTAGTGGGTGACTGACCATTCGAGCAATACATCCAAAAGGATCTAGTTAGTAGCTGCTGTGAAATCCAAAAGTTATAAATCAATAGTATTGGGCAATCCTTCCGTGTGGTCGAGAAATATGCAGTCTGTTTCCATCCGGCAATTGCCTCTTATTCTAAAAATTAGATTAAAAAATCCAGTTTGGGCGCCTGGCCATTCAGCAAGAGAAATTTCACATTATCTGGCAAATGAAATATTTGTTTTATTGAAAAATGCTTTTGTCAAACATCTTTGGCTATGCAGGCTCTGTAGAGCCACACCTGTTTAAATTGTGTATCATGTGTAAGTCGGGTGTGAGTACAGTGAGCGTCTGCGCTCATGCACACAATTATGTCAAATGACAAAGAGCAATTTCGGTCGTACCCGGATGAGTTCTTGAATCCGTGTCTGGTGGGATTTGAGTGCTCGATAAACAAGTGTTTTTCACGTTTTCTTGTTTCTGTCGTCAATGCATGCCTGATTCTGTAAAAGATCCACTCAAATTAAAGAACAGTAATTGATGGTTCCAATTTCATTGTGTAACAAGGTTACACGTACCCTTGTACGAAAGAGTGGGTCACACAAGATAGTGCGACCGTACAAAGGTGTGGAATCTACAAGGCGGTGTATCATACCATTGTTTGATACACCGTAACAAGAAGCCAGGGACTATCAGTAGTTATGCATGTTTATGAGGTTTCACTGTTTGATTAGGAAAACCTAAGGTTTTGAATATAGGTGGCTCTGCCGCAAATATAACATATAAATAAGGTTTTAATGTTGAACGGAAGAGTGCATTTGCCTTATTTAAGCTTTTAGGTTTTCTTGAAGGTAGCGGATTGCGATCCACTACACTCGTCCTGATTATGGTACAGAACGTGAGGTCAGTGACCTTAGTAACCTTACTTCAAGCAAAGAGCTACGGCAGCCCCGCTGCACTTGGCACCACTCGTGTTCAGTCTGCGTCTAAGTCGTTACGACTGATCCTCTGAGAGGATGGAGCAATTCTCCTATTCGCCCCAGGAAATGCAGGACGGGCTGATGTCCCTGCTTGGCCCTGAGGGCATGCAACACTTTGCTTCGCAAGAACCCGAAGCGATGAGTGCGCGCCTTAAGGCGTTTTCAAACTATGAAAGTGACGACGGATGACTCCTCCCGACCCTGGTCTCTTATGGTGAGCGTTAAGACCTTTGAGGGTAAAGATGGAGAGAATCTCATGATCTGGGTGAGAGAGGCCAATATGGCTATGGATTTGCCTTGCTCCGGAACGAGCAACAGCGTGTGGCACTAGCTATCTCCAAGCTCGGGGGCAGAGCGCGAGAATGGGCACTAACGTGCGGTACTTTGGCTGAAGCGGCATTCTCCTCCTGGAAGGAGCTAAAGCTGCAGCTTTTGCGAGTGTTCTCAACGCCTATCCAGGCACATCGCGTGCGATCGCGCTTTCTTGCCGCTCGACAGGGCAAGAAGGAGTTGATGGACTTTGTCCAAGATCACTGCCGGGATGGCAGCTGATCCTCTCCCTAAGGCGGTCATAGCGACCGTCTTCATGGAGGGCCTTCGCACTGGCGTGGCCAAAAGGAAGTCTTTCGTGTGCATCCGTCTCCTTTTGAAGAAGCTGTGAATGTGGCATCGAATGCCGAATTCAGCTTTAAGTCGGCGCGACTTGGTTGAAATGCACACCCTCAGGGCTCGTCGAGCGGGCCTGAGCCAATGCGTTTAAGCTATACTGAGAAAGAGGAGGAGAGCTCCGAGCTGCCGGTAGCGTTTAAACACCCGACGGTGTTTAGTCTGTGGAGACACCCGTCACCTTCGGACTGGTTGTCCCCTGCGCAAGGCGCGTCAAGGCTCATCGAATCGACGTTCGCTTCTAACCGGTAGCCAGTCACCGTGGGGCACCCTACTAGGGAGAGCTGAAGTCTGTTGAGCCTCAAAGATGAAGAGTGCAGCAGGGCCCAGCCCCGAAGAGCTCCGTGCTTTAGAACACGGAACGTGTATGTAAGGCGGGCTTGCTAGTCGTAAAAGCGACTATGAAGGACTTTGAGAAGCCATGGAAAATCCTGATCAATCCGGGACGTCGGGCAATCATGCTTGACGGTCCACGATCAAAGGAAGTCAACTGTATGCTGAGGCGCTGAATGCGCGGTTGAGTGACACCGTCCCTTTTCGCTTAGCGACAGGGACTTGTGTCACTCTGCCAAGGATTCCTGTAGACCTCGGTATGACATTTCTTGACTTTGATAGCGTGGAACACTGCTTAGTCTTAGACTTGGATTCAAGGTATGACCGCATCGGTATGGCATGGTTGGAACACCATGAGCCATGGATCGATTGGAGGTCGAACACTTTGGGCGCCACGCGCACGTCTCCTGGTGGAGCTTTGATGAGTCATGAACCCTTCTCGGCTAGGAAGCAGATGCGCTATTAAAGCGGGCACTGGACCGGGACGGTAAATGTGCTGGGTTTTGGAGTATCCGAGCTGTCAAACACCAAAAGTGTTTTGAACAAGAGTCACGAGCATGGGTCACGGGATGAACGTGGAGTGTCACGTAACGAAGTAGTTGCAACATGCCAAGAGTGGCATGGTCGGACGAGGTCCGAGGCATCGAGGGCTAGGTCCAAATGACGCGCGTGGAGTGGCACGTAATCCACTGAGCACTGCTCACGTTTTGATGCAGTTGCTGCATGCCAAAAGTGGCATGGCTGGACGAGGTCCGAGACATCTTGGGCAAGGCCCTTCTGCTGCGCGTGGAATGGCACGTTATCCACTGGGCGAAGACTGCGAAGTACACAGCTCTTCGTCAAGTGTTGTTAATATCATCAACGCTCCGATGGAGCAGGGAGTGGGGACACGGGACGACGCTGAGTGCTTGTTCCCACTGATCTCGATGTAACGTAACGCCTCTATAGAGAGGAGACGACGAGGCTGTATGTTATCTGCAAGACGCCGGGCGTCGACCCTGACCCAGGGTGTGTCTATCATAGACGACGGTACACAGTCACACACCCTCGTCAACGGTATGACGAGAGGATGGCGACGTCCGCCTAGAGGCTATGCCTGCAGTAGATGCTCTACTTGAGCTGGACGAGGTGTCCCTTGAAGAGTTCGGTAGTGCATTGAATGCAGGCGATTTGTCCAAAGTTATCATTGTACGACCGGGCGAGGAGATAAACTCGTCATCGCTTCTGGATGAAGCTGTCTTGGAAGACACCAAGAGAGTGCTGAACGTACAGAGTGAATCGTCGATCACACGAAATCCCTTGGATCCGTACTATCCTTTGGTAAACGAATATCAAGATGTCGTCTCCAAAGACCCGCCTTCGGTCCTACCTCCGGACCGAGGTGTGCGTCATGAGATTCACCTGGTTCCGGGAACCAAATACTGCGTAACACGCTAATGACCCCTGCCCAAGGAGCTATGCGACGTCATTGATGCCTTTTTCCGCGCGAAGCACGACGCAGGAATGGTGCGTGAGAGTAAGACTCCCCATTCGACACTCACGTTTTGTGTTCGGAAGCCGAACAGCAAGTGGCGCATCGTTCATGCTTACAATAAGCTCAACGCTACCACCATTCCGGCACAAACACCAATTCCTAGAAAGGATGTTCTTCAGAATAACATAGTGGGGTGTACGAAGCAATTGCCCATGAGAGCGAGTGACATTCCGCTGAC